CTGGGGGCAGCAGTTAATTGAATTTTTTGTGTACAAGAAGGACTCGCTTTTATCTCCGTTGATGCTTTGTCCATGCATGTCGTGTGTGTGAAGCCTCGAGTGATGGGAGCTGGTTATGCGCATGAGTGACGTCGAAGGTTCATGGATGATTAGATGTTCTGTCAAGGGTTGTCGATTGCATGCATGTATGTGTGTATGTACTCGTCCGGGCGGGGATGGGGAAACTGAACTGGTGGACCGTCTGCTTAGGAGTATGAGTGTGTTGATCCGGTTGATCCCCTCCCCTCTGCGGCCTTTCCTGCACTCTCGCGCCATCTTGGCGTAACTCTCTCTCTCTTTCTCCCTTTTTGATCACCTTCCTTTTGAACTAACAGTCATCGCCTTTTAGAGCTTCTCGTCCCCGTACCGGTGACGTCAACCGCCTGCGTCCGCGCGGACGGTCGACGCCCCCGCCAAGGGGAGAAAGCTTAGATTTCGTCATCCTCCCCCTACGCACCCACTTTCGAGAGAGAAGAGTTGCGACGATTGTTGCATGGATTCGGTGTTGGTCCGGATGACTGGGAACGCGGGATCTTGTCCGTGTTCATCACGTACCTCCGATCGTCTCATCTCGCTACCGACCTTCCCCATCGCAGATGACGACAGCGTCTATTGCGATGCGGACGTACGGCGCGCGCTGAGGCGGACGGAGCAAGTGTGTTGGCAAGACCCGCCTCGAGCTTGTGACATAAGGGGGAACGGGTTTGTTCTGATTGATCGGTTTGATTCGCCGACTCTAATATTGCCTTATACGGGTTTGACGGTGTTGCCCTGGTCGGCCGCTCACGCCGCGTGGCAGCCGCAGTTTGATTGTTGCTGGTGTCGCCAGGGGAACTCGTGTTCGTGGCGACGGCTGGTCCTGGGTTACGAGGGAGCGACACGTTTCCCCGAGCTTTTCCGTAGTGCGGGGGCGCTGCCCGCGCAATTTCGAATTCAGATGCCGGCGAGTCCTCCCGCCGCTTTACCCTCCCGGAAACTTTCGCGCGGACTCTGTGAGTCCAACGCCGAGGCCTGAAGGCCTCGAACCAACCACCTCCACAGCAAAGACCCGAGGGTTCGACCACTTTGTGAGGTCGATGATGAGGCCTGAAGGCTTTGAACCCACCTCCTATTCGCCCAAACTCCTGACGGCCGAAGTTTTGTCTCCCGCCGCCATGGCCCTCTTCCCTTGAGGCCTTTTTCCGTCCCGATGCATGACGGTAGTTCATTTTTGCGGAAACCTTTTTGATTTTATCGTTTCGGAGTGATCCGATCCCCACGGGACTTTGCGGCGACAGTTCGACTCCGGGGAAAACCTCTGGCACGAAATGAGGGCCTCCCGTTCTGTCCGGGAGACTGAACCCTTACGGCCAAAAATCCTCGGCCACGCCCCTCCTAAAACTATGATCGGCGACCCCGTACGGGACACCGCGAGGGGGCGTGAGGTTGGTATCAGAGCTGATTCGTTTCGGCTCCGAGGTTTTCCTAGGACGATTACCCTGTTTTAAAGTTTCTCCTTTTTCTTTTTGATCTTTTCATTAGAATTTTCGCATTTTTGAGTAGGCTGGCTCCCCGTCGTCGGAGGCCCGCGAATAGCAATCAGAACCGAGCGAGAGGCCGGGCTCGAAACCCGCCTCCCGCGATGGTGGAACCCGGAATCGGGGGTGAAAACGACGGCGACAACCACGCGGGGATGGCCAATCATCCCCTATACTTTGTACCTCCTCCCTCTGAAGTTCCCATTTTTTTCTGAAGATGACACCGATCCTCGCACCTGGCTAGCTGCCTTGAAAGCCCAGGGCTGGTCGGACCAGTTGCTCCGAGAACGAATACCCGGAAGGTTAGCCGGAACCGCTTTTGAGTGGTACGGACAAAACCCCTTCACTAATTGGGCAGCCTTCCAGAGGAAACTCCTCAATAGATTTGATCACATCGCACCAGGTCAATGCCTCCGTTTAATAAAGGAATACACACAGCAGCCTCGGGAGACCTTGGCTAGATATGCTGAACGTTTTACGTACCTAGCCGAACGCTCCGGGGTGGATGAGAAAATGGTACGGAATGATTTCGTCAGAGGACTGTCAGATTCTCGTCTGCGGAAAAAGATCCGCAAGAAATGCAACCCTATAGAACATACCCTGACGGAGCTAATTCAGTACGCAATTAAGTATGGGAAAGAAAATTACGATGTGGGCCTGGACTCAGAATCCGACGAAGATGACCCTTCGGGTGTTCGACGCAATAGCTACTCCGCTACGACACGAATGTTCGAAGATCGCTTTGGGTTGGGTCCGGCAAAAAAAGGCTCGGATCGGAAAGCTTCTTCCTCTGCTTCGGCCTCCCGACGCCCTAGTCAAACGCAAGGAGGCCCGGGCGAGGAAGAAGTATCCATGAAAGAGGTCGTGACCCAACTAGTTACGGTAGTAGCCCCGTTGACGGAGTTTGTTCAAGGTCTGCAACGACAACGCATAGCCGCCGGCAACAGGTGGCTATGGCTGCCGGAGCCTCTATGATAAGACCGGTCGTGGCCGGGGCTGTCCCACCCGTACGCTGTTATAATTGTAATCAGCCAGGCCACCTTGCGAAAGATTGTCCGAAACCTCGAACTCAGGGCGGGCCCATCGGACCTTCCCAAATTCCGCTGGTTGCTCCCACTGCCGCAGGAGAGGGGAGGGTAGCCACGGTAATGGACACAGGAACGATGGAGATGGTGAACCCTGCGGCCACTGAGATAGGACCCGATGAGTATATGGCGGCAGCGATGTTCGAACCCGGGACCATCGGAGTGATACGTCACGTCCAACGGATTACCGAGGAAAGCGACCTCGGGCCGTGGCGACCAAGATTCGAAGATATTGCGGTACGTGGTCCTGAATACAAGGATGGCCATATCGACGTATTGGATGCCTTGAAGGCTCTGGATCTTCGGATCCCCGACCCTATTCCATATCTTCTAACAATTTTCGAAGCGGCTAACGAAAAGTTGATCGAACGGTGCCTCAAAAACAGGCGCCGATTCGAGAAAAGTCGAAAGGGCAAAAAGCCGGTCCTACGGGACCCACCCACCAACGAGGAGTCACAGCCCTCGACCTCAGAGGTGCACGAAGCCAACCGGATAGGGATGGTCCAGACCGTAGATTCGGCCTCGGAAAAACCCGAGGTATTCCTCCGGGCCTATCCTATAACTTGGAAAAGCGTAGAGTGTGACTGTGAGGTTTGGGGAAGCCCCTCGGCCGCCATCCTAGACTCAGGATTGTCGGCAGTCGCCATTTCTTGGAGATTGACGAAACAGTTGGGAAGGGAAGGACAGGTCCAGCCCCTCCGGCCGGTTGAACTGTATATATCCGCTAAAGAGGACAGTATTCATTGTAAAGGGCGAATAACGAACGTACCTATGCGGGTGGGGCGGGTGCATTGTTTGTGTGACGTGATCGTGCTGGATGTACAGGCGTATGATGTTCTGCTAGGCATTCCGTGGCAGGCGGCGGTCGGAGCGCGAAAGCCCTTTGACAGCTGTAAGGTGGTGCTCACATCGGCCCACCCCAAACCCCAAATGATACCAATGAGACTGGCGGTGCGCATGCGTACCCAGCCGGCGCCTCGCCTCACCACGAAAGCCCATCAAATCAACATGATCCGACACCTGTCACTGGACGAAAATGAACCCTCGATGGAAACTGACGAGACTGATGTACCCGACCGATATCCGATCCGAGTTCAGGAACGGTGGCGCCATTCTTGGCGGCGAGAACCACTGGAAATAGTTCGGAGCGAGTCCAATCGGTCGCACGCGTTCTCCTCCGTGGTGCAGGGGGAACCCCTGCTGAGGGTGTCCCGAATAGCTGACCTTTTGGAACCCCCTGCGTCTTTATATCTCAGGACGGACCCCCTACCTGAAAGATTTACCGAGCTGAGGGGGTTGTGCGATTTATCTTTTCGACCTCCACGGCCCCTACTCACGAATGAAAAAGCCGCGATACTTTTGAAAGAAGGAGTGTCGTTCCAACCCCGAACAAGGGAATATCGGTGGGGACCGAGGGAACTGGCACAGGCCTTTTCGGTAGAACCCTCGGCCGAACCCGAACTGGACAGTGATAGTGACATGGAAAGCGAGTCGATGAGTCCGGCGGACAGTCAACTTATTGCGACTGTCCTTTCGGCGAAAACCGACAACTCTTTGTTTGGGGCCTCGCCCGATGCCAGCGCGGCGGTCCCCACGACTACGGTCTCCCTTCCTGGGGGAACCGTGGAAGTTCAGTTACCAACCCGTGTTCCGGACGAATACCGACGCCTCCTCTTGGCGGTTATACGGGCCTATCCTGAGGCCGTCAGCATTCAGGACCACGACATAGGGATAACCCCTTTGATACAACACGCGATTGACACCGGGGATCACGCCCCGATACATTGCCGACCGTACCGATATTCCCTTAAAGAAAGATAGTTGGTCTTGGAAAGGGTACGAGAATTCGAGCGGTTGGGGTGGGTCGAACCATCGCTGGGACCGTGGTCTTTTCCCGTGGTCCCCGTACCAAAATGAAATGGTTCGGTCCGGGTATGTATCGACTACCGGAAATTGAACGCCATCACTACCAAAGATGTGTATCCCTTGCCGCGAATCGATGATTTGTTAGATGCTATCGGGGCCGCTCGAGTCTTTTCCAAGTTCGATATCTGACACGGTTTTCACCATGTCGCAGTCCGACCGGAGGACCGACCCAAAACCACTTTTGTCCTATTTGAGGGCACGTGGCAATGGGTCCGGTGTCCCATGGGAATTTGTAACGCCCCTGCAACGTTTCAGCGGGCCATGAATATGGCCTTCGCTGAGTTCGTAAACAAAACCCGACTAACCCAGCCCCTGATCATTTTCTGCGTGATTGTGTACATGGATGATATTTTGGTCTTTTCAAAAACACACGAGTACCACGTGGAGCACATCGAGTGGGTTTTGCATGCACTGAAAGATGCGGGGTTCAAAGTGGCCTTGGAGAAAAGCGAGTTCTTCTTGTCAGAGATCTCATTCTTGGGGTACATCGTTACGGTCGAGGGACTAAAACCGGATCCGAGGAAGGTGGCAACAGTTCAGGAAGCCCCGGCGCCGGTCACACTCACCCAGGTTCGGGCTTTTCTGGGGCTGGCATCCTATTACCGACGCTTCATCAAGGGGTTCGCCAGTGTAGCGAAGCCCCTCACGAACCTGCTGAAGAAAGAGGAGCAGCTGATCTGGACGCCGGAATGCGAAGCGGCGTTTCAGGCGTTGAAGGAGGCTCTGACATTTGCTCTTGTGTTGGCGCGTCCCGACCCGACAAGACCGTTCGCACTGTACACCGACTGGCAGCCGCAGGCGATATCGGCGGTGCTGACTCAGCACGGGAAGGACGGAAGGGAGCACGTCATTGAGTATGCATCCAAGATGTTGAGCAAGGCGCAGGCTAATTACGAAGCGTGCAAAGGCGAATGCCTGGCGGTGGTGTGGGGGATTCAGCATTTCCGACCGTATCTCTACGGCCAGAAATTCGTGCTGGGAACGGATCATCAGCCGCTGCTGTCCATGCGCAACAACACGGACTACACGGGGGCGCTGGGAAGGTGGGCGGTGCGTGTGCAGGACTATGACTTCGACATCCGCCACCGCGCCACGCGGCAGCATGGTAACGCCGATGGATTGACGCGCCTCCTGCCGCCCAACAAGTGTCCCGCTAACAAGCGACTCATTTCGTGGAGGCCAGAAGTTGCGGCGACGAAACCGCACTACGGGGAGCTACACGTGCTGCGTAAGGGCGACGCCTGAGTCCGGAATGGAGGTTTCATCGGAGATGGCAGACGCTATCTCTTTGCCCTCATCCAACTCCCTCGCTCTTTCGTCTAGCCCCAACTCGTCCTCTGAAACACATCTAAGTCCCTGTTTCTTCTGTACCTTGCCTATGATCCCGGACCAAGAAGGGTCACATCCGGGAGGGCCCAGTTTTCTTTTATGGGTACAGTGTAGTCAGTGTCATACGGTCAAATCTCACGGACAGTTCCTTAGATACCGAAGTGAAAAGACGTGGGTCTGTCCCAACTGTAGAGCGGACCAAGTCCCTACCGAGAAGCGGTATCAGGACGCTAGAAGAGCCGACGGATTCGGGCCAAGTGCCCGACGGGCAGAAGTCTGGACGGACCTTCAGTTGCTACAAAGGCTCTCAGGCGACTCGCTGTCAGAACTTACCAAAGCCGAGAGGCGGAGAGTCACGGAGCGGGCGCAGAACTATCGCTGGCAAGGCCCGACGTTACAAAACCGGAAGGTCGATGACGACGGAGAGTCTAGCTGGCTGACGGTTCCACACCCTCTCGCTAGGTTCGATTGGACACGAGCCGCTCATGAAGAGGATGCGGTCCATTTCGCGGTCAAATACACGGAAAAAGCCATCGAAAAGAACGGATGGTACTGGTCGGGAAATCGGGAAGATGTGAAATACATTGTTCAGAATTGCCCGGCCTGCGCGGCGGACAAGGCGCCGGTACAAATGCCTCGGACGATGGTGCCCACTCGGGTAGAGCGCCCCTTTCAGAGGGTTAGCATCGATACGACGGATATCAACGTTCCGAGAGGGCCCGTCGATCAGGGAGAACTCAATGTTCTTTTAGTGGCCGTCGATCATTTTTTGAAATGGATCGAGGCGTACCCTATGACCAGCCGGAATTCGCAGGAGGTAGCCTGGTACGTAAACCGATTTTTGTGCATGCATCTAGACGTAGAAGAGGTACACATGGACAATGGGTCGGAATTTCAAGGCGAAGTAGAACGTCACCTAGTCTGGGCATTGGCCTCAAGCCAACGACCTGGTAGAGAATGCCAACTGACTGATTAAGACCGCCCTTAGACGGAATATCACCGCGGGAGACACCCGGCCCTGGCCGGTCATTGTCGATCACATCTTGGCCGTATATCGGGCTACCCCACACGGTAGTACTGTGGTGTCCCCCTTTCAAGTGAGAACCAATAGTGTCCCTCGGGTGCAATTGTCCCCCTTAGTAGGTACGGAAGTTAGAGCAACACGGGCCCAGAATCGAGACAAGGCCCACCACTACATGGACTTAATGGCTAGGGCCTATCCCCCGTTAGCTTGCCGTCGACAGCAAGCTGTAGATCGGACCCATCAACGGCAAATCCGTGACTACGAGAATCGACACGCGTCGACGGGACCACTGCCCCGCTATAAAGTTGGGGACTCGGTGCAGGTACGGATATTTGCGCGCTCCTCCAAGATCCACCCGCGCTACAGAGGCATTTACGAGGTCACGAAAGTTGGCGCACAGGGACAGCACTCCGTGAAGCTGATTCCCCGTCACAACTCCCAGGCCCGACCAGTGACACGGCACGCGGCTGCGCTCCGACCTTTCCAGCCATCACTAGGTCCCCTACGAACCTCCGCTCCTGCGAGATCACCCTCTTCTTCTTCATCTTCATCCTCCTCCTCTTCCCGATTTGCCTCGTCCGTTGGTGCTGAGAGTTTCAGGGAGAAGGATGAACCATCGCCAGCCGGAGCATGAGCCCCTCAAGCATTTCCAGACGCCGCTTGTAGATCGCCTGTTGCAGCATCGGTTCAATGAGGAGAGGCAGTTGCGGTACGACATTCAGCAGGTGAACGTGCCGGCGCCCGGGGTTGCTGATTTGGTGGCGTACTCGTTGCCTTGCGATCGACTGACGTATGCGGGGGTGTACGTGGACGTGGACGTGGACGTGACTCAGTTGCCTGGCCGGGAGACGACCTGAGTATTCATTGAGTTCCGCGCGCTCCAGGTGGCACCCAACTTCGTGCACAGCGTGGCCACCTTCATCGGAGACTTGACGATCCTACCGCAGCCGAATCGGGAGCTGGCGCGCAGCTTTGTGCTCGAATACGCGGTAGAAGCGGCCAGATCAGTGGCCAGATTGTAAGGACGGGGGGGGCACCGATTCACAGCCCACGAGGTGCTGCTGCGTAGGGCAGAGGACGGACCAATTGCGTTGGTGCCGCAGCTCCCCGCGCTTCTCCCTCCCGCTGCTCCTCTCAACTTCCAAGTTATTCCCCCTGTCCTGTACTAAATGCGTCCCTTCTTCTCCTACACCACCCTCCCCTACCAACTCACGGAGGGCCCTTATCCTGTGCGTGAGTTCTCGGAATACTTGGTGGAGCTAACTGACGTGGAGCCGCTGCCCTTCGCCGACGAAGATGCGTGGGAGTTGCATCGTGCGCTGTACAAGTCGGTGGCGCTGGGGATGTTCCGGTTCTTCGTGGATCACGACGACCACGCTATCGGGGAGCACTTCGTCGTTTACTACGTCATCACGCGGCTCAAGCCAGCGGAGAAGGAAGGGACGGTGGCGCTGTACCCCTTCGCCCAGCTCCAGACAATCGATCCGGGATTGTTGGAGCTCATACATCTTGAGTTCCTCTCCATTGCGCAAGTGATCACGAGCGAGGAGGAGGAGATCCAACCACGATTGCGGACGGTGACGGCCCCGCGGAGAACGTACAACGCGGTCGTCATCCCGGATTACATTGCGCAGCGCGCGGAGAGATTGGAGGACTTCCCAGAGGAAAGGCCGTTGCGTCCTCCCTCGTCGTATTCTCGACCAGCGCCACCGAAGGCCCCCAAGAAGACGCCGAAGAGGAAGAGACGCCACCCGTCGTCAGGAGCGCAAGGCAGCAGGATCGGCGGCGGCGAGGAGGTGATTCAGCCCGCGCGTACGCAGATTCCTGACCCTGTGCCTAGGAGTGCGGTGTCGCTCGTTAAGGAGACTATCGTGCCATCGCCGCCCATTCCGCGTGTGCCCGATCTCAATCTTGATGGAGTCGGGCCATCATAAGCAGCATCAGCCGGAGGAGGAAGCCGAATGGGATTTCCGGATCCCATATCCAGACCCCCCGTCCTCGCGGGACCTCCCCGTTCCCGCCAGCCACCCCGGGGTGCCCCAGTCATTGACATTAGTAGTTCATCCGAGTCGGACGGTCCATCCGACAAAGGTGGACTTCATGGTGGAGACCGCCACCATCAGGCTCGAGGCCATCGCGGGGGCGCCGCGCCCTGATCCGGCGTGGGAGCCATATCTGACGCCCCCTTTTCAAGGGTGTATTGCGGCGCGATTGGCTGGGACGCTCATCTACGAGACTGGGCAGCGTTGTGAGGAAACCCGGGGAGGGGGCCCTTACTGTTCGCTGAGGCCAGGGGCTACAACGCCTGTCACTCGTTGCGCCCGTTCAGAGGTCCTCGACGTTCAGCGATTTTTCCGTGAACCGTGACTTCAGTCATGCGATCTCTTTTTGCGCTAACTTGCGCACTGCTGTTCCTTATTGCTAGAAACGATCAACCAATGGTTAAAACGATCTGCTCCGATCTTTGTCCAGGGCGCTGGTACTCT